AACTCAAAAAAAAAATGTTAAAGATCGTTACATGTAATTGGGGGAAATTTAAAATTTTTAAAAATTAAGGAAAAAAAACTGCTTCATTTGTGTGGTACTTTGCCAGGGATTCTAAGGAACAGCTCAGAATATTAGCCACTTTCTCTGTGCTAATTGTGTATAATTCGTTTCAAAATACTCCATAGCCTTACAAGAAGTTATAAATAGTAACATTCAATTGACTGGTAAAGAATCAGGAAGTTTGCTTTGCTTGGGGCTGTCCCTTCCCTGGTATTATCCTTTGTCTCAACCCTCTTTATCCCTGCTTTTTTCCTGGTTGAGTGTGCCCTGGGCACACCCTTTGATGGTTGAGATAAGAGTGAAGTTCATTTAATGGCTACTTCTTTTCTCCTCCCACTCCCATTTTTGTTTTTCTTCTCACACTCAGTCCGAGAAATATAAAACTCCAGGGTTAAAGAATCAAGAAATTTTATTAGGAGGGAAAAAACCCCCAAAACACCTCAACCAATCCTAGAAGGTCACATATTTGGGGGAATCCTAATGATGTTTCAATGTTTCATATGTTTGGGGTTTGCCTTGCATGTGAACAGACCCCATAACACAGGGGCGCCCTGTATCCTGGGTTCTTCTATTACTTGGGTTAGAGTAGCCTCCTTTGACTGAGTGCATAGCTGGAATATTGTGGTTCAATCCTGTCTGACTCTATGACTCAGTGGACAATACCATCTATGACGTTTCCTTGGCAAAGATTCTGGAGTGGTTAGCCATTTCCTTCTCCAAATGGATTAAGGCAACCAGAGGTTAAGCGACTTGGTGAAGGTCACATAGCTAGGGACTGTCTGAGGCTGGATTTGAACTCAGGTCTTCCTGACTCCAGTCTCAGCACTCTATCCACTGAGCCATCTAGCTGCCTGTAACTAGAATAGACTGGTCTTTAAAACTGGCCAGCCCAGGACAGCCTCTCTCCTGCTATGGGAACCATGAGCTGAACTGGGCAGGGGAATAAATTCCACCCTCCTTCCAACCACCCAACATGATGTCTCTGGATTGTTTGTCTTGTTCTGTTTAATCTGTCCTCAGTTTCAGATGCCAGATGTGATCTGCACTGGATTCAGAGTCTGAGCCAAGGAGACCTTGAAGGCAAGATTCCAGGCAGAATGTTGTATCAGTAGGTCTGCCTGGCAGGGGAGCCAGAGTACCTGGGACTTGAGCCCAAGAAGGGATTTGGATTTAGAACCTGGATGTGGACTGTAGAAACAGAGCTAAACTGTAGAATTAATCTCTCCCAAGAGACTGAGGTGGTAAAAAGTAGGTAAGATTAAGTCTCCCGCATTTTGGGAATAAACTATTTGTATATTTGTTTTTTGCTTAGTCATTTTTCAGTCATGTCTGACTCTTCTTGACCCCATTTGTGGTTTTCTTGGCAAAGATACTGGAGTGGTTTGCCATTTCCTTCTCCAAATCATTTCACAGAGGAGGAAACTGAGGCAAACAGGATTAAGTGACTTACCCAGGGTCACATAGCTAATAAGTGTCTGGAGCCATATTTGAACTCACAAAGATGAGTCCAGGACTGGCACTCTATCCACTGTACCATCTTGGAAATATATTCCTTTGTAAAAGTTAATCCTATTTTTAGTGGTCATGGAATTGGATAGAGGGGAACCCCCCACTTAGAATACCCTAAATGACTTTCCACCCTCCATGGATGTTAGTAGGACCTCTTTTAAAACTGTTATTAAATTTTTGGGGGGTCAATTTCGTTGTTTTATTGTGGTTGTTTTTCCCTATAAGGAAAGGGTTTAGATTTTGAATCTTTACCATGGTGAGGAATGGGGACCATTGGCAGAGAGCCTAGATCTCAGGGGTGAGAAACCTGTGGCCACATGTGGTCTCGAGGCTGCAGGTTCCCCACCTCTGGCCTAGATGCTCCAAAACTCCTACCGGACACTGGAGAACTCTAGGAGAAGAGTGAAATATAACATTCATGGCCTTCAGGTAGTGGGGGGCCAAGGTATTCAGTGTCACACACGATAGAGGAAATGTCGCAGCAAACTTGTTGTTGTTCATTCTTTTCAGTCACATCCAACTCTTCATGACCCCATTTGGGGTTTTCTTGGCAAAGACGCTGGAGTAGTTTGTCATTTTCTTCTCCAGCTCATTTGACAGATGAGGAAAACGAGGCAAACAGGGTTAAGTGACTTGCCCAGGGTCACAGAGCTAGTAAGTGTCTGAGTGTCTGAGACTGTATTTGAACTCAGGTCTTCTTAATTCTAGGCCCAGCATAGCTCTAGCCATTGTACCACCTAGCTAGAGAATAGTCCTATTACTAATCAAAAGTCAAAACAATGAGATGGTAGGATACTCCAATTCAAAAGTCACCTTTAAATTAAATTAGATTTAATTTAAATTCAATTTAGTCACCAAAAACCTTGGAATGAAAACTGCAGACGAGGAGGCAATATTTCCTTAAGAGCAAAGTCTAAGCTCCTTATGGAGAAAAAAACAACAAGAAAACAACAAAACCAACCAAAAAATGATTTAAAAAAAAAAAAGTCCTACTAAGATCCATGGAGGCTGGAAAGGCATTTAAGATAGAAAATATAAACAAACCCCAGAAGTAGTAGGAATACAGAGCAAAGGGAAAGCAAATAGTTGACAGAGTATCTTGGGTACACAGGGAAGAAATGTTTGCTGGGAATTTCTTCTTGGACCATAATACTGAAATAGGGGCAATTACTCTGAAGCTTTTGCTACTAGTCCAAAAGCAATTCATTTATTTCAAGATAAGATAATTGCATCATAGATTATATGAAATCACCCATTTTCCCCCCTATAAAATCAATTCATTCTAGAGTCTGATATTGTACAAGCAGCATGCTTTCTTATGTTGCTGGCTGCTTCAAAGTCTGTCTTTGGGGTACAATTATGAATACCACCCATCATTAATAATAATAGCTAACATTTATATGGTGCTTACTATATATACTTATTCCTGACACATATGTCAGGCACTGTGCTAAGGACTTTTACAATTATTACCTTATTTGATCCTCATAACAAGGATCAAATACCTTTGAGGTAGGTACTATTATCATCCCAATTTTACAGATGAGGAAACTGAGGCAGACAGAAATTAAGTAACTTGCCCAGGGTCACACTGCTTGTAAGTGTCTGAGGCTGTATTTGAACTTGGGTCTTCTTCACTCCATAAGGCAGCTAGGATCCTCAGTGGATAGAGCACAGGACTTGAAGTTCAAATCTAGCCTCAGACACTTACTGGCTATGTGACTCTAGGCAAGTCACTTGACAACCTCTGTCTTAATCCTCTGGAGAAGGAAATAGCAAACCGCTTTTTACCATGACCACTGAAAGACAACTTCCTGACTCCAGGCCCTGTGCTCTATTGGCTGCATCCAGGCATACATCAGATAATGGCAAACGACTAACATTTTTTGCTGTTTTTCTCTTCTAGTTTCCATCCTTCCATAGGATTTGAGGATGGAAAGAACTTTAGAGATCACTAAATTCAACCGCGCCTTATTTTACATATGAAATAAATTTAAATAAACTGTGTCCATGCAATGAGGATAAATGACAGACCTGGAATTAGAACCCAGACCTCCAGCTTCCTAGAGTATGGTGTTACTTCTATTTACATCATGATGTCTCATCAGAGTGCACTTAAAATTTCAGACTTCTAATTGGGAAAAAAAGTCACCTTATTTCTCAGAAATGTGTTCTCAGAACAAGTGTGTTAAAGAAAGTGCCAGAATTACCTTCAGCTGTGCCCTCTTTCTTACCCAGAAGTTGAATGGTAATGTACCATGGTAAGGGTGTGGAATAGAAAACAGAACCTTGAACCCTCATCACTGTTTGCGCATTTGCTAACTTATGACCTCTCTGAGCTTCAGTTTTCCTCATCTGTAAAATGGGGATAAATAATGTCTCTAGTAACCTACATCGGAAGATTCTTCAGAGGCTAAGGCAAGATGTGTATGAAATGCTTTGGAAGAGTTTTCAGGGTCCTTGCTAACTGCTGCACAAATAAGCCAGCATAGGTCTATATCCCAAAGACATCCAAAAAAGGGGGAAAGGACCCATTTGTACAAAAATGTTTATAGCAGCTCCTTTTGTGGTGGCAAAGAACTGGAAATCAAAGGGATGTCCATCAATATGATTGTAATGGAATATTATTGTGCTATAAGAAATGGCAAGTAGGATGATTTTAGAAAAACCTGGAAAGACTTACATGAGCTGATGCATAATGAAGTGAACAGAACCAGGAGAATGTTATACACATTTAATAGCAATATTGTACAATGAAGAACTGTGAATGACTTAGCTATTCTCAGCAATACAATGATCCAAGATAATCCCAAAGGATTCATGATGAAGCATACTGTCCACCTTCACAGAAAGAACTGATATTGATTGAATACAGAGAGAAGCATGCTATTTTTCACTCTTCCATTTTTTTCTTTTATTCGAGTCTTCTTATACAAAATAACTAATATAGAAATGTTTTACATAATTTTGCATATGTATAACCTATATCTGATTGCTTACCGTCTCAGGGAGGGATAGAATTTGGAACTCAAAATTATAAATAAAAATGTTAAAAAATTGAAAAAAGAAAAGAAAAGAAACACACACACAACAATTAAGCCAGCATAGGTTACAGAGAGTCATGCTGCAGTTTATTTATCAACTCAAGAGTGCGACACACCCCATCAGTAGGTGATGGACACGTGACATACAGATGATATACACATATATGTACACAATACACATACACACAAAATACATACAAACATATATAGATTTATCTTTATATCTACATCTGGGGCAGCTAGGTTGCACAGCGGATAAAGCGCTGGGCTTGGAGTCAGGAAGACTCATCCTCCTGAGTTCAGATCTGGCTTCAGACGCTTATTAGCTGTGTGATCGTCGGCAAGTCACTTAATCTCTGTTTTCATCAGCTTCCTCATCTCAAATGTATAGTGTGTGTGTGTGTGTGTGTGTGTGTGTGTGTGTGTGTGTATACACACGTATATGTTTTTACCTTTTAAAATGGTAGGTGGATGGATTTGGCTCCCCAGATGCAGTTTGCTGACACCTGCACCATATAGCATGTGGCCTCCCAGCAAATAATTACTGAATAAACTAAACTTCAATTTTCAGCAAAGTTTCCTCACTAGAAGGAGCTAGAGATACACAAAAGAAATCAAGCCTTTGGAATTTTCAAGGGATTATGAAAATAGGAAGGCCAAGTATTAATCCCTTGGAAAAGAAAGAGCATATGTAAGTCAAAGACAAAATGCCAAGCTCATATTTTAATTTTTTTAAAAACATAGAATACAATTTTAGGAAATTATATAATATCCATAGTCATAGGATCAGAGATAGAGAGTTGGAAGGGACCATAGAAGCCAACTAGTTCAACTCATTTTATAGATGAGGAAATTAGGGCAGAGAGGTTATCACACACAAATTAAATGTCAGGCCTGAGATTTGAACTAAGATCTTCTGACTCCAAAGCTGGCATACTTTCTACTACACTACACTGAATCAAAGGAGAACACCCTTCAAGGAAGAGGATAGATCAAGGAATGCCAAAAGTTAGTTAAAAGTACATCCTTTGTCACATCCTCAAATCAGGGGGAAAAACATCAGACACGTTCCTGGGAACCGAATAATCAAAATGATTAGTGCTTGTTTGGAGAAGCATTCTAATTCCATAGGTTTTCAGTGCCAATGACTTTGCCCAGAAAAAAAGTATCATTCTTATTTCTACTTTCTTAGAAATTTTATTTTAACTTTCCTGGAAGATGTTATAAAATGACAACATCATTTTATCATCCCCACCCGCAATTATGTAATTTTGTTTTGTTTCGTCCCCTAAAATGTCCTACTCGTCTGACTTTTCTAAGTATCTACCATATTTTTTGAATCTTTCCATATGGCTTTTTGTTTCTCATACACAGAATCCTGGAAAATTTTTTCTACTTGTTTACGAAAGCCACAACTTTCTTCTTCCAGAGCATTGATAGTCTGTAAGGCAAATGGAGTCCTATCCCTGGGGAGAGGATTATTTAATGGCCTCATTGGTATGACAGAATTGTATTTATGCTGTCTATTAATGGAGTTCATTAGGGATGTATAGAACTGGAAATTGCACCAAGTATCCCTTAAAAAATTTTCAGTCAATAAAAAAATGGTCCATGCAGACCCATTTACGGCATCATCTAAATTCTGTAAATGCTGTCTGCCACATGGCATTTCAGCATAGATTATTCCGGGTTTAATGCCAAATTGATTTTGCAGCATCCCTTGGACCCTGAGGGCTTCACAGGTGTCATCTTCAGCATGCAGAATCACAAACTTAAAGAATACCTCTTCTTCCAAGTCTTCTTTAAGTAGCTCTTCTGCTCTCTCCTCCTCCTTTTCTTCCTCTTCCTTTAGTTTGTTCAGGTCCTTGTCACTATGGCTCTCTCTAATATCTTCAGAGTGTTTGGCCTCTTGTTTAGAATCCATGCTCTTTGTCCTTGGAAAAGTAGAAACAGGGCTGGAGTCTATTTTGGAATTCTGGATGCCCATGATACATATCCAAGTCAAAAGAGAGCTTTGCTTAATTTCAGCATTTCTTTCTGATCTAAAATAAGAAGAAAAACAAAATTGGTAAATGTGTTCAAGGTGTTCAAGATAGAAAAAAAAAGACTAAAACCTCTCTTCAACTTGGCAAGTGTCAGATACTTAGGATAGTTATGAGCTAATAATTTTTTTTTGAGAATTTTGCAAGGTCTAGCCTAGTAAAAAGTAGATAGAGGACCTGTTTTACATACGGAATTTTCAAATAAGATACCAATATAACAAAATTACCATTATTAAAAGGAACTGAATGGATTTTGTAGTTATTTTTGTCAAAAAGGCCTCACATCACTCCATTTTAGCTGTACATAAGGAAAATAATACATCTGTAATAATTGTCAGTGAACTACTTTGTAGGATATGATTATGAGCTTTCTATTTTGGGACTTCTTTGAATGACTTTACCACCATGCCCCAGGAAGCTCACTCTCAGAATAACTACCATCCTGCAAGATCCCACTAGTCTTGGTTTCCGTTATTCAGTCATCTCCAACTCTTTGTGACCCCATTTGGGGTTTTATTAGCAAAGATAATAGAGTGGTTTGCCATTTCCTTCTCCAAATCATTTCACAGAGGACGAAACTGAAGCAAATACGGTTAAGTGATTTGCCTAGGGTCACACAGCTAGTAAGAGTCTGAGACTAGATTTGAACTGGGATCTCCCTGACTTTAGGCCAGCTTCTCTATCTACTGTGCCACCTAGCTGCCCCCACCAGCCTTGGAATTCCACTTCATCACTCCTCTGCCTCTCTAATGGGAGAGTGACATCATAAACTCCAAACCTCATTTAAGGAGAGAAAATACAATGAGAATAATAATAATAATACATGGGAATAATCATAATACCAATATGATGAGGTCATTGTAAGGAAAGCACTTTGCATATTTTATTGTGATATATTAAGTGAGTTTTTAATTAGGCACAAGAGAAGAATAAGATGTGTCTTTTTCCAGCTACTCTTAAATACTGAACAAAACATACTTTTCCTCATTGGTCTGGACCTGTGAGAGACTTTATGGATAGACAGGGCTATCCTTGGAGTCAGGATTCTGCCTCATACTGGTTGTGTGACAGTGGGCAGGTCACATGTCCTCTTAGTGCCCAGGGCAACTCTCTGAGTATGAGTTTAATAGTAATAATAATGTAATAAGAGGGACTGTCCATTGAAGGCTCAGGGTGTAGAGGAGGCACCATATCCATGTGGAGCCTCGGTGGGCCTGCTTCTAGAAATGACTGATGGAGGAGCACATGCAGGTGTCTTTGTCTGGCTGACAGTGGTGATTGAAAACCTTTTAACCAATTTGTTTAGCTGTTCATGTCTGACTCTTTGTGACCACATGGACAATATTGTCCGTGGGGTTTTCTTGGCAAAGATACTAGAGTGGTTTGCCATTTCCTTCTCTAGGGGATTAGGCAAATTGAGGTAACGTGACTTACCCAAGGTCACACAACTAGTAAGCATCTAAGGCCAAGTGTGAATTCAGGTCTTCCTGATTCCAGGCCCACCAGCTCTATCCACTGAGCCATCTAGCTGCCCCCTTTGACCGCTGATCAGTAATTTAGCTTGGGTACAAACTTTGAAATGCAAACACAGAAATCAAAAGAAAACCAGAAAAGCCTGCTCACATTTGAGTAAATGGAAGAGACTAAACAATGAGAAAAGGTTTATATTCCAAGGGAGGAGAAGAGATGAATATCTCTACAGAATTCTTGCTGTCTTCAAGGATAAGAGAGGGAATCAAGAAACATATAATCATAGCAACTGGGTATAGTTTTGTTTTATTTTGATAATTTTAAGAGAAGAAAGAAAAGAGAGGAAAAGGAATACCCCAGGGAAAAAACTGGGGAGGAACTTCCTAGGTCACATAATTGGGATGCTTTCAGAAGAAGAGTATCCAAACAAGGAAGAAGGAGTGGTATGAAGAAGCATCTCATCTGAAAAGTACAGAGAAGTGTGCGCGTGCACACACACACACACACACACACACACACACACACACACACACACACACGAAACTCAGTGGGAAAAAAACCAATGGGAAAATAGGGACAAGGAAAGGCAAGACAAAGGTTTATGAGGGAGGAGAGATAGGGGATGGAATAATCATAAGCAAAACAAAAGTCAACTCTCAAAATAGCAAAATAGAAGTCAAAAAGAGAGAAACAGTATAAGAGCTAGAGATTAAGGTGTGGGTTTCATGGAAAGAGGAAGAGGAACCGATGACTTCTATTTTATAATACTAGTGTTAATCAGATATTTTTCTTTTCTCTCTTTTCCCTCATAATTTGGAATTATGCAAATAAAGTGACTAAAATACCCAAACCCTTTTACTCAGAGATTCCACCACTGGGCAAAGAGGTCTTTGATAAGAAGAAAGTCCCTTTTTTCACTAAAATATTTAGAGTAGCATTTGCTATAGTAGTAAAGAATTGGAAATAAAGTAGATGCCCATTAATTCGGTTAATAGTTAAACAAATTGTGGTATGTGAATGTAATGGAATATAACTGTGCTGTAAGAAACTACAAATATGATGAATACAGAGAAGAATAGGAATACTTACATGAACTAAAGCAGAATGAAGTAAGCAGAGCCAAGAAAACAATAAATACAATGCCTACAACAATGTAAAAAGAAAGAATAATAACTACAAAATCGTCTGAATTTAATGTAAAACTACAAAAAACAAGCAAGAAGTGTTACGAGAAGACACCTTGCAGGGGCAGCTAGGTGACACGGTGGATAGGGCTCCGGCCTTGGAGTCAGGAGGACCTGAGTTCAAATTTGGCCTCAGACACTTGACACTTACTAGCTGTGTGACCCTGGACAAGTCGCTTAACCCTGACTGCTTCACTAACAACAACAACAACAACAACAACAACAACAAAAAAGACACGTTGCCCCCCCCCCCCCCAAGGGGAGGTCTCTAGGTATGGAATATCACATAGACCTTTAGATTGTTTTTTGATACATGATTGATTTTGCTGATTTTTTTCCTCTTCCATTTTTTCTTTTAAAAATATTCTAGTTGCCTCTACAAGATATCAATAACAACTCAGTATTGTTTTTAAAAGACTTCTTCCCCTTGCCATAAATGCAAAAGATACGCAATTTGACTCCCTGATGTCTTTTTCATATGAACTGATCATAAGTCAAGGCTTCCTGGCACTAAATTTGTAAAATATTTGATTTTTTTAAAAAATTAAGAACCTAACTTTATATTTATCCCAAATAAATGTCATCTTATTCATTTTGGCCCATTATTTCGGCATGTTGATACCTTTTTGCATTTTGATTTTGTCATTCAACTTTTCAGATCTCACCCCTCCATATCTGTTATCTGTAAATTTACTATGAATGACTTGTCTTTTTTATCCCCACTCACAGAATGCTGACCAACATAAACCTAGTGACAGAGCTCTGAGGCCTTCATAACACTAGAGAAGGCCTCTAATGAATTCATGTTGATATGAATACACTTTGGGTCTCGCTGTTGAATTAGCTATTAATCCAACTAATTTTTCTATCCTCCCGTCCACATTTCTCCATATTGTTCACAAGGATAATGTGAAAAACTATCAAATGCCTTGCTGAAATCCCAAAATAAAATATCTACAGAGTTGTACTGTTCTAGTAATGTAGATGAAAAAAGGAAGCCATATGTTCTTAGCGATTTTGTGTTGATTTTTCAGTCACTGCTAAGTACTCTAAAACCACTTATTTAATAACCGATTCTAGAATTTTGCCAGGGATTGATGTCATGCTCTTGAGTCTAGAGTTTGAGGAATGTACTTTTTTTCCCATTTTGAAAATGGGGATGTTATTTGATTGTCTCTTGTCTTCTGATACTCCCTCTTCACCATGATTTCTTAAATGTGGGATGTAATGTAACCATAACTGGATATCTGAACTCTTTCAAGGCTGGTACTTCTTTACTATCTCTTCATCTCTTTTGGGTTTCAATTCCATCTTAATCCATATTTAGTCATACCTTCCCAATCTTAAGATGTTTTTTACTTTTTATTTAAAATTTTAAAAAAATATAATTTCTGACGGAAATAACAGTAGATGAAATAGCAGATGAATAGCCTTTTCTATCACTTGCCCCAAATTAATTTTTTCCATTTCATTTGGCTGAACATAGCTTTAAATGCCCATTTTTTGTCTTCTGCATTTTTTCATAAGTATGAAGTTGAGCTTTCCTGACAGTACTATCCTATCCCTTGTTATTATACCTGCACATAGAAACTACCCCAGGCTCCTTCCCAAAAAGGCCTCCTTGGGTTCATCCTATTCTTTGAGACAACATTCCCTCAAAACCATAGCTCAGGAGTTAGAAAAAATAATAATGAAATTCATGTGGTTAAGAAACTCAAGGGTAATAATGAAAAACAGTTGGAAGTGGCGGGGCAGAGGGGTAGTCTCTCAGTACCAAATCTCAAACTATTCTACCAAGAAGTCATTATTAAGATGAATTGGAACTGGTTAAAAAAGAGGCCAATCAATGGAACATATTACACAAACTACAGAAGGAAACACACATGACAGCAAAGTGTTAATTAAACCCTCAAGCCCCTGATACAAGGGCAAGAACTCACTATCTGACAAAAATTGTTGGGAAAATGAGAATGCATTTTGGTAGGAATTAGTCATAGACCAACTTCTTACAATACATGACAAGATAAACTCCAAATGGATAAATGACTTAGGCATAAAAGGTCACATCATAAGCAAATTAGATGAGGGAGGAAAAAAGTTGAGTTCATGAGTAAACAAACGATACAGAGATCAAATGAGACAAAATGGACAATTATGATTATATAAAACAAAAAAGTTTTGCACAAAAATCTAATATAGTTGAGATGGGAACAGGTAACTGGGAAAAAAAATCTTTGCAGCGTTTCTCTGATAAAGGTCTTGTAACTAAGATATATATGGTACTCTTTCAACCTTTAAGACTTGATAGATGATCAAAAGAAATGAACAATTTAGGGAAGAAATCTA